GGTCCGGGCTGGGGATTCGAACCCGCCACCTTAGGTGTACGTGGCTGGCGCCTTAGCCGGTTGAGCTATAGGTGCCGAGCCTTGAGGACAATTTTTGTTGATGAAGTTAATTATCTTCAGCTCTAGGACGCTGGCACTTACCTCATGCAATTGGGAAATAAGATATTTTTGTACAGGTTGGTCCTATCAGCTCTCCCTTGAGGGGCTGTGGGATCTTGAGCAAGTCACTGACCGTCTAAGCTTCAGTTTTCTTTTTACTGAAAGGAAGATAGTAATAAAACGAGGCTCTTAAATAAGGAAATGTGCAATTCCCAACACAGTGACTTGTCATGTAGTATGTGTTCATTTAAGGCTGGATTATGCTATTAAATTTTTTTTTTTTTTGGTCAAATATTTCTTTAGGGATAAAATCTCATTTGGAAAACTCCATGTCTAACTGAATTTATTTTGATTGTTTTGGTTTTTCAATTTCTAGTATGTAGAAAAAATTAACAATAACAACTTTTCGGGTTTGGCTTATATAACTGGCTATACAACCCCAAGTACATAGTTGAATTAAGATTTAGCCCTGGTCCAGAAAATATTTAGAATTGCTTTTGAGTATGAAATTTTGCCCTTAAAGTTTGCGCATACATTGGACGGCACCTGTGGCTCAAAAGGGTAGGGCGCTGGTCCCATATGCCCGAGGTGGGGGGTTCAAACCCAGCCACGGCAAAAACAAAAACAAAACAAACGAACAAACAAAAAAGAAGTTTGCGCCTACATCGGGTGCTCCTCATCAGCCTTCTGTTTTCAGGATTAGCGAGTTACAGCCTAGTGGAAGAATCAACATCTCTTTTCAGTGATGTGTTATATAATACCTGGTTTCTTGGTATTTTTCACAGTGAATTTCAGGACTTAAATCTATACAACCTGCCTGAAAATAAGGCAACATGACAGATCCCAGCATGTTTAGTTTTTAGATTGACAGCAGTTTTTCTATTTGCCGTGAAGCTATGGCACCCATGATGGTTCACTTGATTAGGCTACGATTTCATTCTTTTGGAAGACTACTTACTGCTAAAAACAGTTGGGAATATTTTGAATCAAGGTGGGGACTTCCCATTCTTACGCCCTCCACACCTGCACCCTTGCTCATTTCATTTTGTCTTCAGCCCAGGCATTTCAATACATCAGATAGAAGCTTCAAGCCAAGTGTAGGAGACAGAAAAACTACAAGAGCATGTTTCCTGCCTGTCTAGGGTCTGTAGTTCAGTGGGTGGAATGAATGGGTGTTATGCAAAGTAAAACATCATGAATACTCTTATCCAAGTGGAATGAGCGTCTTTGAATTTGACCTTGAAGAATAGAGATAGTCTACATACTGAAGAGTATTCCAGAGCAAGGGGACAATGAATGCTGAGGCAGGTCTCAGTGTCTTGGGAACATGTTTGTATAAAAGCACAATATTAAGTGTGTCAGAAGGACGCAGTGAGGAGGTGGGAACTGAGAAGAGACCTCAGAGGTGGGCTGCTTTGCAGAACACTTGAACAACTTCCCCTGAAAAGCAGTAATTTGAGCAGCACAGAGAGCCACTGACATGTTTGACCAGTAGAGGAACCTTTTCGCAGAAATCTGGTGCATTGGGAAGGGAGCTGACCTGAGTGGGAAGGAAGGAACTTTTGCAGGAGTGGGAGAAACGGGATATAGGGGAAGAGACAGGAGACTGACAGACTTTCCTGTGAGAGGTATATGTTCACAGAAGTCACATCTGGTTTTAAGCCAGAGTGAAGGCTGCATGAACTAAAAGAAGGTAGGCAGTCAGGGAGGCTGATTAGTGGAGGAAGATAATGAAAGGGATTGGAGCATGTGGAATGGACATGTGTGCGCGCCTGTGTGTACACACACACACACACACCCCTTCCCTGCCCAGGAATTCATGCAGATGTTCATATCATCTCCCCACCTTCTCTTATTCCCCCCCCCACACTCTTTCCCATGGCAGACCCCTCCTATTCAAACAGCTTTTGCCTACTGTTTTGAGAACTGCTTAAGAAAAAAAGAGCAAAACAAAACTTCTTGTGCATGATACTTCTGATTCTGTACAATTATCATCAATGAGACTTGATGCAAGTTTATCCCAACATTTCAGAATCTTCCAAATGGATGTTCATTTCCTTTAGCTGTTTTGTAGAGAATAACCATGCATTGGCACTGAGTGAATTGCAGGCAACATGATCCCAGAGAGGCAATCACATGAGCAGGTGTTTCTCGGCCTACTGTTATTTTCAACACTTTCAGGCTCGACGTCCACAATTCATGCTTCTCGTTATTGTTGGCCTTGGTTTCTGCAAAGCTGTATCTGGTTAGCCTGCAGTTTCAAGTTAATCTTCAGAGAAGTCAACTGGGTGTTTGTACTTACGAGTTTTAAAAATAGAGTTCTGTGTGTACATATATGTATTATCACAATACCTGCGTTTGTAGGAAGTGTCAGACATCTTAGTGTGGTTTCTATTTTTGAAAAGTCTTAAGGGAAAAAAAATATCCCTGTATTGGAAATCTCCGCAGGAAGGAGACAGGAGGAAATAAGAAGTCTTTGTAAATGATGCCGAAGGAGTAGGGATCGTGCCTTGCCACCCTCTTTAACGGGGGTACCACATTGCCTTTGGGAAGCAGATTTATAGGATGCCACAGTGAGGACCCAGGACTGGACACTGGGGAAAAAGCTTGATTGTGTGTTAGCGGTGCCATAAACTATCATTGCCCAATTTTGTTTTAGTTTTCAAACTATTACTAGCTAGGCAACGTCTGGAAGGACGATTTTACTTACAAGTCTGGTGGAGAATTTGTGAACTGTGTAATGTGTGCCTTGGTGGGACAGGCTTGGCCCTGCAGGGGCTTTTTCAGGGTTTTTTCAGGCACACTCATCAGGGGCCTTAGCTTTCAAGTGCTCCTGACAGCACTAAAGGATTTTAATCATCTAATGATAATTTTAGGTTAAAAAAAAGAAAACAGCTGTGTTCATATCACTACATGAGCATTTGAGAAGTATTCTGTAGTCCATGTTGCGGCATCCTTAAGTCAATATTCAACAATTTTTCTCAAACAAACAGAAAAAAAGGTCCCTGAGTCCACAATTTCTCCCAAATTGCCACATTCTATTTAGATTCCTTAGGGGCACTTATGATGAGGAAGTAGTGTTGAGCTCCATTCTTCTGGGGTATCTTTGGATAATATGTGGAACTTTGCTATCCTCATTTCTTTACTTCAAGGGTGGGGGTTGAGGAGTGAGGCCGGGGACTGGAAAGCAAGGGCCTAATTTGGGGACTTTTGAAACAACAAAAACAAACACTTTGTGAATCAGTATCCTCCCCCCGCCCCCAGCACTTTCAGGAAGTGACTTCTCAGAGTGGGGACCAGGAAGTAACAGTCTGTAATTTAGCAGAAGTGGTTACAGTGTTGAACTTTGAGCTTCTCTGAGGAAGGCTGGCTTATCTAGCTTGCCTCCGATGACGCCTATCCCAGATTTGGCCTATCCCACAAACGAATGGCTGAAGGATTTGGTCTTGATTTTCCACTCACAAGGAATATGAAGAAACACTGAATAGCAGGAGAAATTACATTTTGAATATTAACACTTGAACTTTTGAGTCATCTGACTCAAAATGGAATAAGAGCGATTGTAAATCTAACCCAAATGTCATTATCTTATGGCTAGCAAGGAGTTAAGGAGCTGTGTCTATTCAGCAGTCATAATTGAATGTGTAGTTTGCAAGCCTGCCAAATTGCTAAACCTAGATTTCTCATATTAGATAATGTGTAATAAAAGACAGCTGTTGCCAGCATATGCTGTGCAGTGCACACCAGTTCTCCATTCACGATTCTTGGTGCTGTCGCTGTAACCCTGAGCAGAGGGTCTGGCTGGGAGGGCAGTTTGGGAAAGTAAGACTCTACTGGTCAGATCCTCAAATAGGCCAATTTATCCTGGAGAAAGGGGTGCAGAGATCACTTTTTCCAAAATGTAAAACCCTTGATAACTAACACTTCATTTCACTTAGGCAGATAGTTTGGTGTGCAAGCCGGGTTGAATGCTGAGAACGTTCCTTTCCTCATCGCCTGAGTCTGACAGCCCAGATCAAAAACAAGTAGGCGTTGTGTCAAGATGGGGCACGTGTCAGAAAATTCGATGCTGCCTAATTTGTTGAAATTGTTTTTTATTTAAATGTTAGGTGCCTAAAACAGCCTCTTTGCTAAATCAGAATGGAAACTAATTTATAATTTGACTTACTCTGATTTTGTGTGTGTGCCACTGATAACCCAAATCAGTCCACCAGGAATTGAACGTCTGCTGTGCTTTCCACGTTGTGCTAGGCAAATATTTTCATTTTTAACTAGTCAACTAGCTAGACAGAAAGGTTAGAAGAAAAGAAGTGAGGATATTTCCTCCTCTATAAAGACCTCAAATCTGTCTTGTGGACCTAAAACACTTTAGATTTGAATCTATCCTGAGTGATTTTTGATTTAGGTGGCAGGTTGAATGGAATCTCGAGATTCCTATCAATGCTATGTTTATTGGCCTCAAGAAAGAGCATTTAAAATTTCCAAGGCTCAGAATTTTAATAATTAATTTTTGCCACCATTCATTCATTTAGCAGTTATGGATTAAGCACACGTCTTCACTGTCTAGTAGTTCCTTTTCTATGTTTCTTAATGTTTTTGGACTGAGATTTTTTCATTCTTGTCTGTTTGCTTTTACTTTTAAGCCTTGCTATGTATTGGGGATTTTTCATTTAATTTTATATTTTTTAGTGATTATCCTTGAGCATTTCCTATACATATTTAATTTAATGAAGTACAAGGTTCAAGAATATCTTAACATATTCCCCCTGAACTTGAGTATTGGAACTTCCATCTCCCACCACTACTCTGTTGCTTTTCTTGTCACTTGGTAGTTTATTTCTGTCTATCTGTTTCTCAAGTTTCCATGCTATTTCAGGCTCTGTGCTAGGCGCTGAGGCAGAAAGTAAAGTAAACTCATCTCCCAAGAAGCTCAAAGCACACAGGTGACTACATTCAGAAGTGAGGTATTTGATCCAGTATGCATGTAGCTCCACATATGCGAATATCTGAGCCATATAATTAATACCAAGAGTAATACTTTAAAAATGTAAGCCCTAGTTATGATTGTAGATGCCCTACTCACGTCCCTTACAATCTGAGTTAAGGGAGGAAGATGAGAGATTAAATGAATTAACAAAGCTTAAGAAAATGTGAGTCCAATGATAGAGAGAGATCAAGAATACTTGGAAATGTCAAATTGATTGCTCTCCTCTCCAAGAAGGCAGCTGGCTACCGTAGCTGAATGGTCTCCATCTTTGTTAATGGCGCATAGGAGGCAGAAAACCAGCTTACAGCAAACCAGATTGTTGTAGGCCTTCCACAGTCAGTCCTCATAAATTTAAAAGACACACCTTTTAGCAAGTCTAGGGGATCTTTTTGAGTATGATCTATTCTATTTCAGTCTTCAGGGTGATATAAATGAAGTCCAGAACTGACAAACAATGAAATCTAATTAATGTACATCAAATCAGTGGAAAGAGATCATATCTCCATTCATTAACTTTCCTGACTGGTGACTGAATTTTTAACACTGGGCTGTGACAGAAAATTTGTAAAAATTCTGGCACTTTGTTCCTGGTTATTCAAACTTCCTATAGAAGTGTAGACTTCTCTCATAATGAATGCCTTAATGAGCATTTAATTTGTGTAATTTATCGATACAGATTATTTTCTTCTATGTATTTTTCTTTGATTTTTATTTGTCTACGCTGACTATACACTGATCTCCTACTATTTTATGTATTCACTTACATATGACGACTATTGGGGATTGACAGTTAAACACCATGGGTTAGCTAGAGAGTAAAGCTTATGTTTTGGGCCCTGGGACCAACACTTGAGAATAGGACTAATTAACATTCCCTAAACGAACAAAACAAGACAAAAACAAAGCAAAAAAACAAACAACAACAACAAAAAGAAAACAGACAAAATCCTACTGCAGTCCCCTCAGAAATAAGGTGGCACCTTTTGTTGACTCTTCCTATGGCAGAATGTATCCTGCAAGCGTGTGTTTGTATGATCTGTTGTAAAATGTACAGAGGAGAGAAAGTGATATTACTTATACCATTTGTACCATTCTGAGGTTCCTTTCCTTTCTTGGCTAGGCATTTCATTGCATCTTCAAAAACTATTGCAAAAATAAATCATAAGCAGAATTGAGGTTTTGGGTCCCTGATCTTACCTGAATTGTGTTTCCATATATGAGTTGGTTCTTTTAGAGATGATTTTATTCGGCTTAAAACAGTAACATATTGACAATATTTTTTTTGAGATGCTGATGAAATGACTGTGTGATAGTCACTTCATCCCCACCCCCTAAACTACCTCGTATGTGGGTTTTCTTTGGATTTCAATTTGTGATTACAAATTGTTACAGTTAGTCTTTCAGAGGCTATTTTAAGTACAGACCAGAGATGAAGTTCTCTTTGAAAGTTTTGGAGTTTTGCCACATAATACAGTATTAACTCTTTTGCTACACTGTATTACTCTCCAAACTTCTTTTAATCCTCTAAAAGGAATGCCTCACGGAAGAATGGAAATCTGCTTTTCAGTAACAATTATCAGTGGCTGGGCTGAGGACGGTGATAAAGAACACAGGCCTTTGCTATGCAGAACATTTTATAGATGTATCTTAAAGACCTTGAGGTAACTGTGTGCTTTTTGTATTTTCTAGCTTGCTTTGACCAGATCAAGTTCTTTAGGTGACTTTTCCTGGTCTCAACGGTAAGATAAATTGAATTATTTGGGGGGTCTGTCACCAAGATATTTAGGAACACAGCTCTCTAGACTGTTGATAACACATCCTCCCAACACCCACAGGCCCCCCTACAGAGTCATACATGCTATAATTTACATAAATGTCTGTGATTTTTAATTGTGACAGTTATTTTTAATGATAAATATGTGCCAAATGTGTTCCTTTCATTTTCATGCAGTGCTTTTTTCAAAATTTTTTTTTATTGCAGAAAGCTCGTTACTGTGGAAAAGCAGGATAATGGAACCTTTGGATTTGAAATTCAGGTGGGCAGTTTTCAAATTTTCTAGACTTCCAAGGAAGAAAGTGGCACTGGTAATGTCATGATATGTGTTAAAAAAAAAAAAAAAAAGAATAAAGAAGAATGAAGTTGGGATTCGAAAATGCTGGAGACTGTGACTTGGCTTCCCAGGGTTGTTGTTTGGGGTAGTTTTTCGGTGTGTTGAGTACTCTCAAAGAAAGAAAACCCCCGAGCTGATCAAATAAATCTCCTGAGATACACTCAGTATTATGTGCTTAGCTGCTTCAGCCTTCCCTCAAGTCTGAGACTGATTAGAAATGCCTGATATCAGCCAGGTCTTAGATAAGAGACTGAAATGCTTTTTACAGATGTGCATTTTATGCATTTGCATTTTGGATGTGTTTTCCATAAACATTGTTATACTGTAGATCAGATTTTAAATATTTACTTTGGTATTCAAGAAACACTTGAAAGACTATACATCTGTGTATATGGAATACATATATTCATATATAGTTCTTGTTATATTTTGATACTAAATATTTCATAGTGGATAAATGAGAAATTTGTAGTGGCCCCCCTACCCCTGTGGGCAACACTTTATAATTATTATTTGAAACACTAAGAACGTTTGGCTCTACTTGGCCATTGCCTCATGCTTTTAGAAATTTTTAACAATCTGTATAGTTTTTAATGTAACTACCTGGGAATCGCTTATTTGCTGTCTGCTTTGCCATGACCATATTTGTAAAGAGGTCGAGTTAGGTCAAACGAAGTCTCATCCAATTAAGTGCAACTGTAGTAGCTTAAATATTCTTGGTTTTTTTCCATAGTACTTTTGCATTTCTTTTGGATATGTTTTACATAATCATATTCTTACACTATACATCAGATTTTAGATCTTAGCTTTAGTGCTACTTTCAGAAAACTTTGGTGTGATATCAGCCTCACAAATGGAAAGTCAGTGTGTATTTTAAGATTAGGAACAGGAAGCTGCTATGTAAAACATGTCTTATGAGTAAAGAAACAAAATGGAACTCTAGCTGCAATGAAGAGAGAGAAGGCTCTTAAAAGAAAAAAGATACCTTCTCCTTTCTGAACTCTTCAGTTTTAAATTTGGTGAAATCTATAATTCACCACAATTGGTGAAATCCATCAAGTTTTAGAAGCATTATAGTCTCTCTTCTTCCGCGTTTATGTGAAACACTTTCTATCACTCCCTATTCTGTTGTGGAGATGCCATTTTTTGTGACTGCTTCTTTTTAAAGGAAAATTATTCTCAAGGATCTGCAGCAGTTGATACAGAAAACAGGATACATGATTACTCATTTATCTTTATTTATCTCACTCGGCTACAATATACGTTGCTGCTTCCTTACATTTCTCTCCTACACATACTGTAGACACTTATTCCACATGGATCAAGAGTTAAAATTATCTTCAGTAGACTACATGGCCCAGCACCACCGAACCTTGGTAGATCAACATGAACTCGTGGCTACACCTCTAACTGGCAACGTGCTTGTGGTGCAGAAACCCACACCCCTGCCAATTCCCTCTGGTCTATGCTTCTCACTACCAGCCCCAGGCTATGCTCTATTATATCTAGATCTATATAATCTATGTACTCATAAGATTTGCAGCAATCAGCAAATAGGGGAAATGCTTCTGGAAACTTTCTGAAGACCACATAGAACCGCCTGTACCCATATTGAACACCCAGGGTCACTACGTATTTAGAGTCGGAAGACTGATACTTTGAAAGAGACCAGATCTGCCTCCTTTCTGGTTCTTCATGGGCGCAAATTTGATGCTGCTCCTGGGAATCATGCAGAATGATAAAACCACAGACTTTACCCTCATGCACAGCTGAGGTCATATTCTCTCAATTCCTGCCTTAGAGAGTCCCCAGAGTTGTAAACAAAATGCTGTGCTTGGTAATGTGACTGGTACCAATGGAAGAGCAATAGATGGCAGGTGATGGAATGTAGTCATCAGGGATGATCAAGGGAAATGCATTCTTTTTGTCTCTGAGAAATCATTCTGTCGGTGACCATTCTGTCACTGGTCCCTGTAATGGGAGCTAAAAGACTACGTAATGGAGAGGTAGTAATTATTTCTTTCTGTAATTTTGTCTTTTTCTCTGACCTACAAACTTTACACCTATTCCAAACATAGACGCAGGTGCCTGCTACATAAATCAACACTTTTCCATTGCCCTGTACTCACTTTCATCTTTGGGGGTGGAGGGTGGGGTCTTAGTGGTGATGAGAATTGCTACAACAAAGGTTTCCAAAAGGAATGTCAGTTATAGCTTTTGTTCATGTACTACATGAACTAGACCAGACTTCCATCTCTAGAAAGGTCTGGGCTGTAGTGAGAAAGTTCCTGACAGGAAAATTATTCAAGGTGTTTGTGGCATAGGTAGGGCATGTATTGCATGAGCCTTTAAAGGCCTTTCTATGTTTGGATATGAGGGTTCTAGATGCCTTATAGGCAGGACAGAAATTCTCAGTGGTTACCAGACCCTAGATTCTAGAAGTTGCTCGCACATGACTGATTCATGGTTTCTTGGGGATTATCCAATAAGAAGGAATGAGCACCAGACATTAATTTATTCACAAGGAAACAGTACAGTAATGTGGCTTAATTTTAGGAATGAGATGTTTAAAAGACTCAACTTAGAATTCTAAATGGAACTAGACTTCATAACTTAAATGTGTAAAAGAAAAATATATTTGTTATAGATCATTGGGATACTATATCTAGTAAACATTTATTCAGTGTTTTGCTACAATTAAAAAAAAAAAAACTCCCCACCACCAAACTACTTGTGCCAAATTGAGGCAAGAGGCAAAGATTAACTTTTTCTAATTTAGTTGTGTGACTAATGAACTGGTGAGAATTCAGGGCAGGCGTACCAGAGTGTGCTCAGAAATGAAGGTAATTGAGTCAATTATAGTGCTTTTGAATAAATGCAGGGCAGATTGTCATTCTGTGCAGAATTCTGATTTAAAATAATCTTAGTTGGCGTGTCTCCCTTGCTGGATGTGTACTGTTTCATACTCTTCCGTAATGAGTGTTTTAGCTTAGAGAACCACTTAGGGAGTTTTCTCTTTTGCTCTCGGCCACCATAGATTTTTCCCACTGGGAAATGAGAACTTCAATTTTTAAAAGTAAATATGTGATGATGATGATCAGGTGATCTCTTAGGCTTGGAAATATAAAATCTTGAGCCACTCTCATCTCCCTTTTTTTCTCATGGCAGATGTTTGTCATGAATGGAGCTGGCTACAAATTGGTAGAATTGCAAAATTGGTACCTTTGAGTCACTTTAGAGTCAGAAAAGCCTTTCTAAATTGTCCTTTGCACTTACCTATTATACTTTTAATGGTAATTGACATAATTTCCTTTTTTCACAAAGAGATGTTGCGTTCTCTGTATAGTAACTATGAATCACTTTAATTTTTACAGACATACAGGCTCCCAAATCAGACCACCTGCTCCTGGGAAGTGTGCACTTTGATATGCAAAATACAGGAGGACAGCCCCGCTCACTGCGCTGGCTTGCAAGCTGGTAACTTACAAGTTTACTTTGCTCATGTTAGGAACCATGTAAATAGCAAGAGCAGAAAACTTTTTCATAGTGAAGGTCAGGACATGATTGTTGCTTCAGATGTTCTTAGCGCCTTTATGTTTCTCAAATTTGAGGCTTGCTTGTTTTGCTTCATTTGCAAATCAGGAGGAATTATTTCATGAATCAATATAACATTCACTTTTCTTGGCATCTCCCAGGTGACGTCCTTGCAAATATCAATGGCGTGAGCACAGAAGGCTTTACTCACAAACAAGTGGTTGACCTGATCAGATCGTTGGGAAATCTGCTAACGTAACTATTTGTCTTGTTCCCAGGGGGCTGCAACAATGTTATGCTTTCTCATAATACGTGTTGAGTGAATGAAGAGGCTTTTTTGTTCAGGGATCACAGGAAAGGGGAAGGCAGTGTGCCACAAACTTGGGGACTGGGTGCAAACGTTATCAGTTCTTTTTGTTTCTCAAGGTTCCTCAGACTTGAACATACTGTCCGCATCTGAAGTCAGAGGGTATCAAACGTCTGTGTGGGAGAGATCGCTTTTTAAAAATGTATCTTTTATGTCAGATTCAATTAAGCTGGAACACATTCTTTTAAATCCAATTTCCATAGCTGATATAATGCTGTAGCTAAAACAAATAAAAGGTCATAAGGGCTGAGTTTTTTCCTTTTTTGACACAAGCGGCTTTTTTTTCTCTTCTAGAGTTCCACAGGGAAGAAAAAATAAAGTCTGTTCAACACTCCCACCCAGAAATATATGTGCTCCCATTACACATTCCAAATATCCCTAATTTATTAATAAGATAGCAGTCTTCTTCTCAAGTAGAGATTTGACTGGCTTTTCTACCATAACATTCTGAGCACCTAATCAGACCTTAATAAGTAGTTAAAAGATAAAATCCACTCATTCATTAAAATGTATTGAGCAAGTACTATGTTTCCATCTCTGTGAGGGGCTCGGGAGACTCTCTTAATGCTTTAATAACTATGGAAAGAAATGGCTCAGAAAAACCTCGAAAACAAGTAATTTTTATGTTTCAGTTATTGATCACTGCTATTAGGAAGGTAAGGAGGACTAGGGGATAGAGTACTGGGAGATGGCCAGAGTAGATGTTTAAAGTGCTCCTCTTTGGCTGGGTGTGGTGGCTCATACCTATATAATCTTAGCACCCTGGCAGGCCCAAATGGGTGGGTTCCTTGAGTTCAGGAGTTTGAAACTAGCCTGAGCAAGAGTGAGACTGTCTCTACTAAAGATAGCAAAATTAGCTGGGCATTGTGGCAGGCACCTATAATCCCAGCTACTCGGAGGCTGAGGCCTGAGGATCACTTGAGCCCCAGTGTTTGAGGCTGCTGTATACTATGATGCCATGGCACTCTACCCAGGGTGACAGAGTGGGACTCTGTCTCCAAAAAAAAAAAAGTGCTCCTCTTTGAGGGGGTGAAATTTGAGTTGAAAAATGAAAAGAAGGGATGATCATATGAACTCCTGGTAGGAGCATTTAAGGGGAAAAAAAGGTTTCTGGGTTCACAAAATGGGATTGGCACATCCAGGCAGCGGAGAGAGAGGGAGCCAGTGCAATTGGTAGCTGGCGGATTAGGGAGAGTATAATAACAGATGAAGTCAGAGAACCTGGTGGGGGCAGACCAGGGCTCCATCTATTATTGTGCCAGTGAGCTCAGGTTTTATTCTGATTATGGTGGGTCCTATAGTTCCCATTCCTTCTTCACAGCCATGTGTGGTGTTAATTGTATTTCCATTCATAGATGAAATGCCTGAGGTTTAAAGAGGGCTACGTTAAGGTCACACAGCTAGTGCATGACAGGGCTGGGATCTGACCACCTGCTTGGGATGCCAGGATCTGTTTTCTTCAGATACAGCTGCTCATTGTAAACTGCCAATAGAAAATCTGCTGGATGCTCTTCCATGATTCTAGTCTAAAACTTCAAAGGATGCTCTGGGTGTGTGTGTTAGTGGTTTTGAAAGATGGTGGTTGTAAAGGACTGAGTCCAGATCTGTGGGTCCTTTGAGTTCAGGGTAAAGGAAGGGTGAACTCTCACTCCAGAGAAAACTGGATTCAGAAGGTAGGAACCATATAAGGTCCAACAGGAAATGCTGATTGTTTAGAATCAGAAAGTAGGTTCTGCACAGGTGAATTGTTAGAAATTCAGAGATCACGAAAATGAGAGACAGTCTGTACAAATTCTGAAGAGAATGGTTAATCCATGCTTGCAGTTTTGCCCTCACAAATCTACTGCTTAGGTAGGTCAACTGACATTAAGAGTGCCAATGAAACAGATTCACACCAATCCCTCTATTGCCCAGAGAATCAAGACTTCTTAATGAGAAAGAAGACAGGGTTTGCTTGCTATCTTCTCCTTATCTTAGGCATGATGTTGTTAGAAAAAGAGAAAGATTGGTGTCCACATTTAATGCTCTGACCAGGCCTGGAAACATTTCTTACATCCTTTATGAACAGAGTTGTAACTCAGTTACACGAAAGAATTTGAACCAATGCTTTAAAAATTGATGTGTGATTCACAAATGAATTTTTTCATTATATTCAGACTGATAGTTTAGTAGTCAAAATATAGGCCTTTAATGTCAACACACAAAACACATCAAATCATTCAGGGTAGAGCAAGTCCTTTGTTTTGGTGAAGGAAGAAAAGAACACTGTTAATTTGCTAATTCTAGGATTAAAGATTCTGAGATGTAAGAGGATTTTGAAGGATATTATCTAATAGTAGTTCTGATTCTGTTTGTTCTAGTTCCAAGATTGTGAGGCAATTTAAAGAGGCTTCCAGAACCCTACAGACGAAAGTATTTCTCTTTGTTTCAAGAGTCTGTTTGATGGGTTTTGTGAATATTGATTCCACTATTGTGAAAATCCCTAGTACCTAATGTTTTTGTTGTTTTACCCCTCATGTTTACCCTGGTGCCTGGAATCTGGAACATAGTAGATGCCCAATAAATACCTAACAAATGAATGAGGTAGGTCAGCCTGTGCTCCCAAGAGATTCTAGTAGAGAGCAATCATCATTGTCAGACAGTAGCTTCTATAAGGTGCAGTTTACAAATTGACCAGGAGCTTTTCCTTCAGCCATCCTTTCATGGCAAAGAGAGGAGTTTTTCATTTACCTGTTTTCTTCTCTGGAGATTATCAGAGGATTTGGCCTAGGTCCAGATACTTGAATTGCCACGAGGACTGTAACATTTATATTGCATTTTTAGTATAGCCTGTGCTCAAAGTGTAGTACCCTTTAAGTATGGTTCTTGTTTAAATGAATCATTCATGTTATCCTCTCTCCCCACTTTTTTTTTTTAAAACAGGATAGAGACTCTTAATGGAACAATGATTCTCAAAAGAACAGAACTTGAAGCAAAGCTGCAGGTTTTAAAGGTAATTTAATTTAATGCAGTGAGGCACACTTTTCATTCTTGAATATATGAGTGGTAGAATAAAGATCTATTTGAGGAATTGAGATAACCCTTGAAGATGAAATGTCATGATGAATCTAAATGCTGAATTACCAAGAGCCATACAATTACCTTTGGAGGAAAATCAAATTCTGCAAACTACTTTCTTCCTTCCTCCTCCCGTGTGTCTAGGGGGCTCAGAAAGGCAACAGGAAGGCACACCACTTGAAGAACTCTTCATTAGTGCACCTGTGATCTCTCTTGATTTAAATTTTGTTTTGAAAAAAAAAAAACCCCAAACGGTAATAATTTCCCCAAGTGTTGCATAAGGATGCTGGAGGGGTTGGGATTTTTGCTTTTTCATTGTCCTCTTTTTGTGCTTTCTCTGCATCCTCATTCTTAAAACAAAGACCTATCCCCCTACTCCTGTGGCTGTCCTTGAATCTGCTTTTATTGGCAAACAAACTATCAACTTCAAAGGGGAAAAAATTAGTTTCCAAGAGACAGTGGACAATGAAGGATGTTCAGTGAAAATTCTCTAGATAGCTCTCTGAGGCTTTAAAAAAAATCTCTGTTTTCTGGGGTGGTGAGCCATGCAGTCCCAATCCTTACTCATGTGCATCTGAGTCATAGCTCTACAGACCCTGCTCCTGGTCCCAGGTGAGCTCTTCTTCCCAATGTTCCCCTCTGTGTGGCAATGAAGTAGCAGTGATTGTAGCAGGGATGAAATAATTTGCTTTATGCAGGTTACTTACCTGGACTTTGTTTAGAGATAGCTGCTATTTATTAATCTTCATCATGAATATGTACTTATTAATTATTGAGCCCAAGAGGGTAGATTTTTATCTTGCCTTCTTCTTCTGTATATTTACATTTTATCTTGAATCCTTTCCTTCCCCCAAATCCAATTCATCCACAAAGTGCTCCTTTCTTCCATATCAACAATGGGTTGATACTCTTGCCACTTTGGTTATCCTGGTGATTTTTTGGAATCAATTCATTAAATTCCTTTAAAAAAAACCTCTGTTCAAATTTTGATAGGAATTGAATTATATTTATAAAATAAAGGAGAATAACTGAAGTCTTTATGTCTTTCATTTTCCTCACTTTGAATACAGGATCCCAATCTTTTTATTCAAGTCTCTTATGTACCTCAAAAATATTTTTTAGTTTTCTTCCTAGATTTTACATATCTTTTATTATACATATGTTTAAGTACTTCCTAGTCCTTTTACTGTAATAGACGCAATCGTTTATATTTTCATATGGTTATTACTATTAGTTGTGTGTAAATATTTTAGCTAGGGTTGTTGAGCTCCCTTTTTTATAATAATAATTTTATAGATTACCTTAGACTTTGTATATAGACATCATGTCATCTGCAGATAATAAAATTTTGCCCCTTTAGTCCAATTATTCAGCCAATTTATTTTTCTTCTCTTATAGCATTGGCTAGGATTGTCAGTATATTATAAATAGTGATAGTCTTATTTTTGACTTTAAAGGGAAAATTTCTAAGATTTTTGTTATTACATTTTCATAAGGAATATATAATGATTCACCTTAGATTTTTAAAATGGTCAAAATTAATTTGTATTTCCAAAATGAGATACTTTTGATGAACATCTTTTTCAAAAAGTTATAATAATTTTTTAAGTGCTCCATAGAAGAAATAGATATTGAAAATAACCGAGTCATGTCATTTAAAATGAGTGAAAAATAGTCTTATATTTCATGGAATAAAGTACTGATGCAAAGTATTATTGTGTGCTTCTAAGCAATTTTTATCTTTATATCTTTTCTCTGTCTTTGAATGTTTTCTCAAGTTTCAACTTAGATACTTAACAATTTTTCTAACAATCAATGCATACTTTTTCAATATCTCTGTCTTTTTCCAGAATATCATTAGTACCATAACCTGCTTTAAATGTCCTCTTAAGACATATTCTTTATTATCACTTACTTTAGAGAATTTCATCAATTAAAAAAGTTGTATAATATAGGTTTTCATTCCAAATACCTGGTAGTGCTCTAATACCCAACTTGTTAGGGTGATATGCTTGCTGTTGTTTCTTGCACTCTACTCCTTACCGCTGGGTTTACTTTCTCTTTTGCTATAGCACCTCCTTCAGGGAGGGTAAGTAGCTCCTTGTTGAAAAATATCTTTATTTCACTGCTACTATTGAAAGAGTGTTTTGATGGGTAATTGAATTATTCTGAGTTGATTTTTTCCCTCTTAGCAGGTTGAATATATTATTCCTTTAATATATTTGTTTTTGAGAGAGCTCTTAACTGTTTATATTTGTTAGGTTATCTATACTTTCTGGCAAAAGTTTTTAAGTTTTTCTTTTTCACATTTAGGACCTTAACTCATCCAAAATTAATTTTTGTACATAGTATGAGTATGGGAAAAATTCTAGTTTTATTTTTTTCCATATATATCCCTAATTCTCCCAGTACCATTTATTTTGTAATCTCTTTTTTCCCCTTAACTGACCTTCATTGAAATCTCTCTTTAAAGAAGTTCCACATGGATTTGATGACAGGCTTCTTGTTATGATTCATTGGTCCATTTGCTTACCTCAAACTCAGATTATAATAAAATCTTAATATCTGGTTGGGCAAGGTTGCTCTTGGTCCTCTCGATCCTTTGATCAGCTATATACATTTTAAAATCAGATTATCAAGTTCCATCTATAAATTTTGGAGTTTTGATTAATGCCTCATTTTATATATATTGATCAATTGGAAAAGACTTGACATCCATGTAGTATTGAGGTTTTTTTTTTAATGGTAGATGATTATGCAATTTTTACTTGTTTTCTTTAAAGTCTTTCAATAAAGTCTTATAATTTTATGTATATAAGTCTTATTTGTCTTTTGTTAGACTTGGTCTTTTTACCTTATCTTGCTGTTCTTATAGTTTCTTTATGAAAATAAAGTTAACAGATATGTGAAATTAATTTTTATTTGCTATTACTATTTTGAAACACCTTGCTTAACTACTCATATATAATTTCTAATGAATTATCTATAGATTATTCCAGGTTTTCTGTAGAGATAACAACTATCTGTTAAAAATGACTTTTGCTTCTTTTTCTGACATTACTACACTGGTCAGGACCTACCATAGAGTGATGAATATAAAGTATAACTGCAGGCATCCTTGTTTTTTTTAGAGATAGAGTCTCACTTTGTCACCCTCAGTAGAGTGCTATAACATCATAGCTCACAGCAACCTCCAGCTCTTGGGCTTAGGCGATTCTCTTGCCTCAGCCTCCCGAGCAGCTGGGACCTCAGGTGCCTGCCACAACTCCCAGCTACTTTTGTTGTTGTTGTTGCAGTTTGGCCAGGGCTGGGTTTGAACCCGCCACCCCCGGTACATGGAGCTGGCACCCTACTCACTGAGCCACAGGCACCACCCCAGCCATCCTTATTTTATTCTTGAGTTTAAACGGAATTCTTCTTAATCTCTTTCCCATTAGAAATGAACTGTTTTTCAGTTTAAGAAGACTCCTGTTGATACTGAGTTTCTTGGTAATTGTAGTGCTTGTATATTAAATTTTATCAAGTACTTTTTTCTATACCTGTCAATATTGTGTTTTCATTTATTTATTCAAAATATTTTTCTATATGGTGAATGACATGTAAGGATTTTCTAATGTAAAGCTACCCTTTCATTTTCGGGATGAAAATGATTTATCAACCTGATTTATCCTTGAAATTATAGTTATTTTTATATACTTACAGGTTTGATTGGGCAATTTTTAAAATGATCTTTGAAGATAGTTTCATTTTAAATGTAGACTAATCTGTACTTTTCTTAGATTAGCTTCTTAAATATTAGTGTCAGGTATACTAGATTCAACAAGAGCTGGAAACTGTCTTCCTCTTTTTGATCTCTGGTAGAATTTTTGTAATACCAACTGAGTCATCTGGACTTGGGGTTCCTTTTTGGTGAGAAAACATCTAAACGAGTTTCAATGTCTTTATTTGTTGTAATACTACTTAAGATCTTGGTTTTTTTTTTTCTTTCAGGCCACTTTTACTTATAATTTAGAGTTACATTTTTGTTAAAAAAGTTTTCAAATTTGTTAAATAAAATTGATAATAAAAATTTTATTCTTGGGCAGCACCTGTGGCTCCGTGAGTAGGGTGCCAGGCGCTGGCCCCATATACCGAGGGTGGCAGGTTTGAACCCAACCCCAGTCACATTACAACAAAAAAATAGCCAGCCATTGTGGCAGG